CATTTTCTCTTACGATACAATGTAGCGAATAGGAATTACGGTGAGCATTGTTTCATTTTTAGAATATTCAGGTACATGTACCCGTATCTGTTATTTTAGTTTTGAAGCGGTGAGCAATGGGCGGCCATATTGCCCTATAATGGAATCCTACTGACCCTCTATAGAAAATTAGAGGGTCACCACGTGACAGCTCTAAACCAATGGTTTTTGGACATTTTTGTCCGAAGTGCGATAATTATAAATAAGATATCACAGCTCTAGTTTGTATATGGGATTTTGGATAGTTAATTATTTCATAATGCATTTAAAAATCGATTTAACCATTTTATGTCAGACAAACTGCCTTTTTGGTACAACAATACCACTGTTTTCTGATCGGTGACCACAGTTTACAAAATCAAGATCATACAGGACCTTATAGAACTAGTATATATAATTGATACCAATGATAATCAAACGTTAGGAGCAATGGCTATTTGTAAGGTAACATCAAGACATGGACGAGACTATGAGCTGACTCAAGTTCAGATTGTCAGGAAAATGTCCATTGAATATAAACGTTTAAACAAACAAGGATTATACATATTAATGTGTAACAGGAAAGAGAATAGTGTGTTTACACCGGGGATCGAATCCTCGATCTCCATGCGTTCGGCTGCAGAATCATCCCGACGGCCATTATATTACTACTAGTAAATGCTTGATGATTACAACATGGGTACAGTAACAAAAGGAGCTATACCAAAATCTGGTCCAATCGTAGGTATTGGTCTTACTATAGCAGATACATGTACAGCTGGTAAGGACCTAGATGTTAATGTCAGTACCGATGATCGCAGTATTGTGGAGATAAAGATACCATACTGGAAGTATAATATTGATAAAATACTTGTCTGTACATGTACGCGGTTTCAGGGGAGAACGCGTCAATCTCTATAGCTAGAGGATTCAGTAATCATTATATCATCAAATTATCAAAGAGCGGTCGAGAATACAGGTACATATGTAAAATACCGATAAACGTTAGATAATATAAGGAACTGATCATAAATAAGTACAGTAGAGAAAATCAGACCCGTCAATAGACAACCTGATTGTGTGAGGATATTGTGTACAGCCGGTAACATTGTGAGGGGATATTCTGTACACCCGGTAACGTTATGAGGGGATATTGTGGACACCCGGTAACATTATCAGGGGATATTATGTACACCCGGTAACGTTATGAGGGGATATTATGTTCACCCGGCAACATTATGAGGGTATATTGTGTACACCCAGTAACATTATGAGGGGATATTGTGGACACCCGGTAACATTGAGAGGGGATCTTGTCCACAGCCGGCCACATTGTGAGGGGCTATTGTGTACAGCCGGAAACATTGTGAGCAGATATTGTGTACAGCCGGAAACATTGTGAGCAGATATTGTGTACAGCCTGTAACATTGTGAGGGGATAGTGTGTACACCCGGTAAAATTGTGAGGGGATATAGTGTACACCCGGTAAAATTGTGAGGGGATATGGTGTACAGCCGGTAACATTGTGAGGGTATATTTTGTACAGCCGGTAACATTGTGAGGTGATATTGTGTACACCCGGTAAAATTGTGAGGGGATATAGTGTACACCCGGTAAAATTGTGAGGGGATATTCTGTACACCCGGTAACATGGTGAGGGGATATTGTGGACACCCGGTAACATTGTGTGAGGATATTGTGTACACCCGGTAACATTATGAGGGGATATTATGTACACCCGGCAACATTATGAGGGTATATTGTGTACACCCGGTAACATTGTGAGGGGATATTGTGTACCCCCTGTAACATTGTGAGGGGATATTGTGGACACCCGGTAACATTGTGAGGGGATATTATGTACACCCGGCAACATTATGAGGGGATATTGTGTACACCCGGTAACATTGTGAGGGGATATAGTGTACAGCCGGTAACATTGTGAGGGTATATTTTGTACAGCCGGTAACATTGTGAGGGGATATTGTGTACACCCGGTAACATTGTGAGGGGATATTGTGTACACCCGGTAACATTGTGAGGGGATATTGTGTACACCCGGTAGCATTATGAGGGGATATTGTGTACACCCGGTAACATTATGAGGGGTCACTATTGAGTACTATCGGGGAATACCTACTATAGCACCACTGTTTCCACTATTGTGTCACACACACCTCGAGAACTCCAGACTCCAAATAAAGGGAATTAACTCTATCTTTCTTACCAACACCGCTTTCCCGACAATTAATAATGTAGAGGAAGCACCTGCCATGCACGAGCAATTAGATCGTAAGCCACAAATGTAGCCGTTTACCGAATGGGTTAGAAACACGCGATGCGTTATGAAAATGACTACGGCACGAGCGAACAGTGACACGTGCTCCAGATTCCACATCCAAGATACACAGTGTGTATAATACGAAAAGTTCTGTGTATGCTACCAATAATTACGTGTACTTAATCAATTATTTACAAGGTTATTATACAACCGATAACAATGACATTCCGGAAATTACGACAGTGTACTAATATACATTAATATACACTTCAGAATATAATTCAAGTATATGCTTTTTTTTCTGAAAGGAAATCTAGGTTTAGTGGCATTGTTTTCATCTATATGACATTTCATTTCAGACAATGATAGTTAGAAAAGTTACGAACAATTACTGAAAATTGATCACATCCGATTCAGTTCTCCAACAGATCAATCTATTGACAGAGCTGGAACATAGGTTAGAACCAGTTCCACTCCGTACAGAAATAAAACAATTACTGAATCGTTGCATTTGGTTCCCTGTTTTAAAACAATCCTGGGACCTTCCACGAATTCTCTGTGTTCCAAGAATAAAATCGATATGGCGTTGGTTATTCCCACGGATGTGAGATTGCGAAAGAAGAGGCTGATCTCCGAGCACTGTACATCCAGAGGTCCCGCACACCGTGTTTAAGGGTGAGCAGATTTATTGGTATGTTATATTTAGTAGTTTTAAATATTTATATTTTAGAGGCATGATTGGTTATTATTGAGAATAGTTTGAGGATTTCCGCAGTGTAGATTCGTGATGTATTGTATCTGTTATAACGGGTTCCTGAATATTTTACCAGTACCGTATTATTGTAGTACGTACATGTACGTATTGCATGTTTTACGTATTGTCCTGTCCTGTAGTACATGTACGTATGTATTATATCATACAGAGCATTAACGTATGAATTACGTGTTCTGTAGGCCATAAGTTATATACATCTGTACGATATAAGGTATGTAATTATACACTATTGGGTATAATGTGATCTACAGTACATACAAGAATGTATTGTGTATTTTAGTACACATAATGTAACGCCCAACATACCATCACTATACATTTTTTTGCTGCATTTAAAAAAAAAATCTGAAATTGTACCATTTCTGTTGCTTTCTATGTATTTGTAGAGTTCCGTTATAAACCGTACAAACCTGAGCTCCACATAATGCTTATAGCTTATTTACATTCAAGTCATTGACTGGAGACGTTACTCCAAGAATAACCAAATATGTAACCCTGTACAGCAAAGATCAAAACAATATATTTATTCCGTAAAATTTTATCGAGATTACAGCAAGAAATATATATATTTCTTTAGAAAAATATAGAATTTAAGACGAATTTAGAAATAACAATCAATGTATTATTCACCAACGACTGGGAGTGCATGTCCGATCTATAACTCTAACCAGAGGTTCTCCATTCTGAGTCACGGGAGCGTTATTTTATAGCATTACCAATCGCCAAGGCATTTTTTTCGAAGATAACGTGATCTTGACATTCCGACGTAGACCCGTGGATAACGACTATCCGTGTCCAGTTTTCCTCTCGTGGAGTTACATGTAATTGTCCCGTGACAACCAAACAGCGTAACAATCGCCTGTCATTCTACATAATCAGAGACCTTTTTACTCAATGATCCGAATACCATCGTAGGTCCTTTGTCAGGATCTCGGACTAAACACTCCCCGAGGTAATTATGGAAACTGAACGCTCCCCTGGGTAATTAGTGTCCATATTTATGTAAATCAATTATTGGAATGCTCTAGTTTTTTGTTGGAAATGTATTGATTTTTGGTCTCTTAAAATTGAATATTGCTTTTTGAACGTAAAAAACATAGGAATCAATCACTATCGCGTTATGCTTGTTTACACGCATGTGGAAATAAACCCGTAAACTGTATGCATTACTGTCCAGTACTGACAACATATAATATCTACTCGAAACACACGTACACAGATGTTAGCTAGGTTTATGCATTGACCGATAGTAGACCTAACGAAAGACGATATCCCCGAGGCCCTTAGACCAAGACAGACACCTAGCATGCGTTGTTTCGTTGTAGGATTTGTACACGTGTTGTTTTCGCTATAGACATGTACATGTATCTCGATACAGCACGTGTTGTTTCGTTGTAGGATTTGTACATGTGTTGTTTACGCTATATATGTATCTCGAGACAGCACGTGTTGTTTCGTTGTATATCAAACTTAAGTCGCTAAATTTGTATCGTTTCGCTGTAAATCCGACAGATTTTATTTTCGTCGGAGATAGAACAGGAGACCTTCTGTTGTTTCGATGTAAACGCAACACGGGGCGTTATGTTTGCTTATACTTTCGTTGTAGACCTGATGTTAGATTTGACATGCGTTGTTTCGTTATAAACCCAATGATTCGATAATGTGTTGTTTATCCTTTCGTTGCAGACCTGGCGTTAGACGTAACATATGTCGTTTCGTTGTAGACCTGACGTTAGACGTTACATGTGTTGTTTTATTCTTTCGTTGTAGACCTGACGTTAGACGTTACGTGTATTGTTTATTCTTTCGTTGTAGACCTGACGTTAGCGTTACGTGTGTTATTGTCACGTAATGCTAGATCTTGCGATGTGTCTGATACCGTTAGGATTATAGTATATTACCAACACGTACACGTTGCAGGTGTATATGGTGTCACACCCACAGCACCGCTAGCACAGTTACGTAGAACTGGGATTTTCTATGTCTTTCTGCGCATCGTCCTTTGTCACCTTTCAGCCTCAGCAGTATTCTCTGGAATTCCGATAAGTCTGCTTTCTCTCTCAACCAAGATGCGTGTTCGATAAGGGAAATCGAAAGTGGGGAGGCTTACCGCGCCTAGCAGGAGCCTCGCTGTCATTCGGAGAAGGTGCACGTGTTTAATCACCGGATTACGTGGACATTTGTCAGATGCTGTAACTACGTGTAAAATACGTCAATACCGTACTCTATTTATAAATATGACACTCGAATACATTTGACGTGTAACGTAAATTAGTGGTATGGTCAGTGGCATTTAGTCAGTGGATTTATATTTAGTTAGTGACACACACGTTGGTGAAATATTGAAGCGTGTTAAAAGTGTTTCTGACCAGGAAACCTGTTGGAATTAGACAACTGTTAATGTTATGACAAGGCCCCCGAGTGTGCGTACAGCTGCTGCATACAATGTACCTGCGAGACATAGACTGGAGTACATTGTAATGTAAACAATACGGGTCAGTCGGAATAACTCTGCTGAGCCATCCCCACGTAACTGTCTGGAGCTTGTCTATGTAAGTATACTGTAATGGACCAAGCAGACGTTTTACTAATTAACAATGATTAATGATATAGACACAGTAGACTTACAAACCACTTACTTACTGATCACTCACCGATCCTATATATATACTAGTTCTAACGATATGATACTATACGTGTGTACACACTGATCCTATATATATACTAGTTCTAACGATATGATACTATACGTGTGTACACACTGATCCTATATATATACTAGTTCTAACGATATGATACTATACGTGTGTACACACTGATCCTATATATATACTAGTTCTAACGATATGATACTATACGTGTGTACACACTGATCCTATATATATACTAGTTCTAACGATATGATACTATACGTGTGTACACACTGATCCTATATATATACTAGTTCTAACGATATGATACTATACGTGTGTNTGAAACTGTACGTGTATATACACTGATCAACGATATTGTACGTGCATATACACTGATCAACGATATTGCACGTGTATATACACTGATCAATGTTAATGTACGTGTATACACACTGATCAACGATATTGCACGTGTATATACACGGATCAATGATACTGTACGTGTATATACACTTATCAATGTTAATGTACGTTTATACACTGATCAATAATACTGTACATGTTTACACACTGATCAATGATGCTGGACATGTTTACACACTGATCAATCATACTGGACGTAATTATACACTGATCAATGTTAATGTACGTGTAAACACACTGATCAATGTTAATGTACGTCTATACACACTGCTCACTGATACTGTACGTGTATATACACTGATCAATGTTAATGTACGTGTATACACACTGATCAATGTTAATGTACGTGTATACACACTGCTCACTGATACTGTACGTGTATATACACTGATCATTGTTGCTGTACGTGTTTATACACTGATCAATGATACCGTACATGTATATTCACTGATCAATGATACTGTACGTGTATATACACTGATCAATGATACTGTACATGTTTACACACTGATCAATGATACTGCACGTAAATATACACTGATCAATGATACTGTGCGTGTATATACATTGATCAATGTTACTGTACGTGTATATACACTGATCAATGATACTGTAAGTGTATACAAACTGATCAATAATACCGTACATGTATACACACTGATTAATGATACCGTACATGTATACGAACTGATCAATGATATTGTACGTGTATACACACTGATCAATGATATTGTACGTATATACACACTGATCAATGATACCGTACATGTATACACACTGATCAATGATAATGTACATGTATACACACTGATCAATGATATTGTACGTATATACACACTGATCAATGTTAATGTACGTGTATATACACTGATCAACGATATTGCACGTGTATATACACTGATCAATGTTAATGTACGTGTATACACACTGATCAATAATACCGTACATGTATACAAACTGATCAATAATACCGTACATGTATACACACTGATTAATGATACCGTACATGTATACACACTGAGCAATGATATTGTACGTGTATACACACTGATCAATGATATTGTACGTGTATACACACTGATCAATGCTACCGTACATGTATACACACTGATCAATGATACTGCACGTAAATATACACTGATCAATGATACTGTACGTGTATATACACTGATCAATGATACTGTACATGTTTACACACTGATCAATGATACTGCACGTAAATATACACTGATCAATGATACTGTGCGTGTATATACATTGATCAATGTTACTGTACGTGTATATACACTGATCAATGATACTGTAAGTGTATACAAACTGATCAATAATACCGTACATGTATACACACTGATCAATGATAATGTACATGTATACACACTGATCAATGATAATGTACATGTATACACACTGATCAATGATAATGTACATGTATACACACTGATCAATGATAATGTACATGTATACACACTGATCAATGATAATGTACATGTATACACACTGATCAATGATAATGTACATGTATACACACTGATCAATGATAATGTACATGTATACACACTGATCAATGATAATGTACATGTATACACACTGATCAATGATAATGTACATGTATACACACTGATCAATGATAATGTACATGTATACACACTGATCAATGATAATGTACATGTATACACACTGATCAATGATAATGTACATGTATACACACTGATAAATGACATTATATGTGTATACACTGAAATGAAATGGTTTATTGTCATCCGACAAATCAAGCACATAAATGTACTTTCGTTGAAAAGTGTATGGCTTTAGGTTTAATTTTATAGTTTTGCAGTTTATAGGAACACATGAACTACAAAATAGACATCTCTGAGTATATGCCAAATCGTGACACACTTATAAAAAATGAGTTCTGATTGGTCAAACGTTCCAAACAGCGACAGCAGTTAGATTAGATGTTTTCTATAATAGAAGAAAACATAAAACATTGACTGGCTAAACCCTATCTCACTATCTCATGACAGAGTCTGAAAAAGTTTAATTTTGGAGATATTTAGGTCTATATACATGTAAATAGACAGTTAGTAGACCGTTAGGGTTTGAGTATTAGACAGCTAGTAGACTGTTAGGGTTTGAGTATTAGACAGTTAGTAGACCGTTAGGGTTTGAGTATTAGACAGTTAGTAGACCGTTATGTTTAGAGCATTAGACAGTTAGTAGACCATTAGGGTTAGAGTATAAAACAGTTAGAAGACCGTTAGGTTTGGAGTATTAGACACTTAGAAGACCGTTAGGTTTAGAGTATTAGACAGCTAGTAGACCGTTATGTTTCTATTATTAGACAGTTAGTAGACTATTGGGTTTAGAGTATTAGAGAGTTACTAGACCGTTAGGTTTAGAGCATTAGACAGTTAGTAGACCATTAGGGTTAGAGTATTAAACAGTTAGTAGACCGTTAGGTTTATAGTATTAGACAGTTAGAAGACCGTTAGGTTTAGAGTATTAGACAGCTAGTAGACCGTTAGGTTTATAGTATTAGACAGTTAGTAGACCATTAGGTTTAGAGTATTAGACTATTAGACAGTTAGTAGACCGTTAGGTTTAGAGTATTAGACAGTTAGTAGACCGTTAGGTTTAGAGTATTAGACAGTTAGTAGACCGTTAGCGTTATAGTGTTAGACAGTAAGTAAACTGTTAGGTTTAGAGTTTAGACAGTTAGAAGACCGGTAAGTTTAGAGTATTGGACAGCTAGTAGACCGTTAGGGTTATATAAGTAGACAGTTAGTAGACCGTTAGGGTTATAGTAGTCGACAGTTAGTAGACAATTAGGGTTATATTAGTAGACAGTTAGTAGACCATTAGGGTTATAGTAGTAGACAGTTAGTAGACCGTTAAGGTTATAGTAGTAGACAGTTAGTAGACCGTGAGGAGTATAGTAGTAGACAGTTCGTAGACCATTGGGGTTATAGTAGTAGACAGATAGTAGACCGTTAGGGTTATAGTAGTAGACAGTTAGTAGACCATTAGGTTTAGAGTATTACACTATTAGATCATTAGGGTTAGAGTATTAGACAGTTAGTAGACCGTTAGGTTTAAAGTATTAGACAGTTAGTAGACCGTTAGGTTTAGAGTATTAGACAGCTAGTAATCCGTAAGGTTTAGAGTAGTAGACAGCTAGTAGACCGGTAAGTTTAGAGTATTAGACAGCTAGTAAACCGTTAGGTTTAGAGTATTAGACAGTTAGTAGCCCGTTAGGGTGATAGTAATAGACAGTTAGTAGACCGTTAGGGTTATAGCAGTAGACAGTTAGTACACCGTTAGGGTTAGAGTAATAGAGAGTAAGTAGACCGTTAGGGTTATAGTAGTAGACAGTTAGTACACCGTTAGGGTTATAGTAGTAGACAGTTAGTACACCGTTAGGGTCATAATAATAGACAGTAAGTAGACCGTTAGGGTTATAGTAGTAGACAGTTAGTAGACCATTAGGTTTAGAGTATTACACTATTAGATCATTAGGGTTAGAGTATTAGACAGTTAGTAGACCGTTAGGTTTAAAGTATTAGACAGTTAGTAGACCGTTAGGTTTAGAGTATTAGACAGTTAGTAGACCGTTAGGTTTAGAGTATTAGACAGCTAGTAATCCGTAAGGTTTAGAGTAGTAGACAGCTAGTAGACCGGTAAGTTTAGAGTATTAGACAGCTAGTAAACCGTTAGGTTTAGAGTATTAGACAGTTAGTAGCCCGTTAGGGTTATAGTAATAGACAGTTAGTAGACCGTTAGGGTTATAGCAGTAGACAGTTAGTACACCGTTAGGGTTAGAGTAATAGAGAGTAAGTAGACCGTTAGGGTTATAGTAGTAGACAGTTAGTACACCGTTAGGGTCATAATAATAGACAGTAAGTAGACCGTTAGGGTTATAGTAGTAGAAAGTTAGTAAACCGTTAGGGGTATAGTAATAGACAGTAAGTAGACCATTAGGGTTATAGTAATAGACAGTTAGTACACCGTTAGGGGTATAGTAGTAGACAGTTAGTAGACCATTAGGATTATAGTAGTAGACAGTTAGTAGACCGTTAGGGTTATAGTAGTAGACCGTTAGGGTCATAGTAGTAGACAGTTAGTACACCGTTAGGGTTATAGTAGTAGACCGTTAGGGTCATAGTAGTAGACAGTTAGTACAGTAGTAGACAATTAGTACACCTTTAGGGTTATAGTTGTAGACCGTTAATACATTAGTAAACCGTTAGGGTTATAGTTGTAGACAGTTAGTAGACCGTTAGGATTATAGTAGTAGACAGTAAGTAGACCGTAAATGTTATAGTAGTAGACTGTTAGTAGACCCTTAGGGCTATAGTAGTAGACAGTTAATAGACCGTTAGGGTTATATTAGTAGACAGTTAGTACAGTAGTAGACAATTAGTACACCTTTAGGGTTAGAGTAGTAGACAGTAAGTACACACCGTTAGGTTTGGAGTATTAGACAGTTAGTAGACCAT